AACCAGCACCTTCAGATCCTTTCTGCAGGGCTGTTCCCCAGACATTCCTCTCCCAATTTATACCTGTGCTTAGCATTACTCTCTGGGGCACAGATCTAGCACTTGGACTTGTTCAATTTTATGCCACTGATGATTGCTCAATGGTTTATCTATCTATCTATATCCCTCTGCAGGGTCTCTTGTCCTTCCAGAGAGTCAACAGCACAACCAGTTTAGAATCCCAGGATTGCTTGGGTTGGAAGGGACCTAAAGACCACCTTGTTCCATCCACCTGCCATAAGCAGGGACACCTCCCACTAGACCAGGCTGCTCTGAGCCCAGTCCTTTTGGATTATCACTCTAGATGATTTTAACATCACTGTTTCTATCTCCAGCCAGCCAGGATGCAAGAGCAAATCATGGCTTGCTGTCAAGGACAGACTGGAAGTCAAGAAAGCAGGAAACACTGGGATGCCTACAGCCTGCCCCTGCCAGACATGTCCTGGGATGCATTCCCTCAGCCTGGCAGCTGGCATTTCCCCTCCAAACACTCAAATCCAGAAGCTGGGCTGCCAGGCACCCTCTCTTCTCTGGCCTGTCCTTCCAGGACAGCAAACCTGCATATGGGACAACACTGATACCTATCTGGGACAGCCTGGAGGTGGCATCACTAAAGAGGTCATGACCCAATGCTATTGTGGGCTTTAGGATAAGTGTATTAGATCAAACAAGAAAGGAAGAGCAACACCTTCACTTGGAAATGATGATGTAGCATCCACAGGTTCTCCTATGCCTCTGATGCTTCACTTGCACACCCCAAGTGAGAAAATGCCTTCTCTGGCTGGTGTCACTGCTAAATTGGAACAAACTAAGGGGAAAGAGAGCCGGAATACCCATACACAGCACCTGCAGGTTTGGTCTCAGCGTTCAGACCACACACCAAACCCAGTGGTGTGTTCCTCAGCTAGAGCAGGCACACTGGGAAGAGCAACCACATTCCTTTACTTTTCCATGCCACTAAATAAATTAAACACAGAGCACTCCATGTGCTTGCTGATCCACAAGAGTGTTTCTGGCTGAGGTGCAGGTCCCGAGCTGGAGCCTCCACCCTGGCACGATGGGATCTGCTGTGGCTCCTCAGCACGTGCTGCTCCCAGGGGCTGACGGCAGCGTCTTGTATGGATTGAGGATCCCCTTGGGGTCCAACATGGCTTTGAACCTCTGCATCAGCATGACAGCCTCTCTGGGCTTGCTGTACTCAATGAACTGCTTCTTCTTGAAGCCCAGTCCGTGCTCTGCGCTGATGCTGCCGCTGCAGCTCGCAGTCCACTCGTACACGAAGGGCTCGATGGCATCCAGCAGGGAATGGCTGTAGGCCTCCGCCGTGATGTTCAAGTGCAAGTTTCCATCTCCTGGAAGAAAACATCGTAGAGGTGGGTCTGGGAGAAAAGCTTGGTGGCCCTGCAATGGATACTCATTCCTGGCTCCTCTGCATACTCGAACAAGGAGGTCTTTGTTAGTCTCCAAACCGTGCCAGAAAGGACAAGCACACTGTCCTACAAACGTCAGCCTCTCTGTGCACAAACAATTCAAACAGGAGCTTTGTTCTCCCATGCTTGCGGAGCAATACTTGGGGAAGGGTCCTGAGCAAAGCTGCTTGCAAACTCCAACTCCTGTGATTTTAAAATCCCCACTGTGCTGCACTCATTACAATCACAGAATCACAGAATCAACCTGGTTGGAAAAGACCTCCAAGACCATCAAGTCCAACCCTACTGTGGTTACTAGACCGTGGCACTAAGTGCCACATCCAGTCTCATCTTGAAAACCTCCAGGGATGGTGAATCCACCACCTCCCTGGGCAGCACATTCCAATGCCTGAGCACTCTCTCTCTACAAAATCTCTTCCTAATACCCAACCTAACCCTCCCCTGGCAGAGCTTGAGTCTGTGCCCTCTTGTCCTGCTGCTGGTTGCCTGGGAGAAGAGACCAACCCCCACCTGACTCCAACCTCCTTTTGGGGAGTTGGAGAGGGTGATAAGGTCTCCCCTGAGCCTCCTCTTCTCCAGGCTGAACAACCCTGTGCCACCAAGGTGACAACGTGGCAAAGGCTTCCCCAGTGGCATTTCACAATGACCATTAGGTTCTAATATGGCTCTTCATCACTTTTTTTCTCCCTATTGTGTTTGTGCAATGCTCTGAATTGCTCTCTGGCACTGTGTCAACAAAGCTGAACAGTTTCTCCTCTTACTGCTGTGTGTGATGGTATTTGATTAAGCACAGAGTCATTGGTGCTCCAAAGACAAAACACACAAAGATAAACACAATTTACTCATCCTCCTCCCTCTGGAACCTCTTCCTGCATCCCACCAAACCCTTACAGCACACAGCTTAATCCTGAACACCACAGGCAGCCTTTGCTGTGCCGTGTGTCTGTTGAATCCTCCCAGATCAAGTGTGCTCAAGAGTGCTCTGTGGGTTTTCCAGTAGCAGAACAGCTCTGCTAAGCCACCGATTTACCTGTTTGTAAAATCAGGCCAGTTTACCCAGCAGGATGACAAATGTACCAGCCTTCCTGTGCATTATCTTTTATCACTCTCTGTCAGATGGTTAATGGCTCCCACAAAACTGACTTCCAGTAGGACTAATCACTTTAAACAAGGAAGTGTGTATCTGCCAAATGTGTCTGAGTACATTAGCCAAATTGATGGCCAAATTGAACAAAGGGCATATTTAAATAGAAAGCACAGAGCAAGAAGATAAAAAGCACCAGTGTCATGGCTGGCTGGCCAGCAACCTGCCATTCATGTATGGACATAGTCTGAAAGCAATGAATACAAACACAACCACCCTGCTGCTCCCTCCTGCTCCTCTGACAGCCCTCAGCTGTGCCTCCCTCATCCAAACCCAACTCCTCACTCCACCAGGAAGCTGCACAGCAACACCTGGAGCACAGAGGGGCACTGACCTCCTCTCAAGCAGCCACACTCACCCAGGTGGCCGTAGCCCACCACATTTTTGGCACTCTGGCCCAGACGAGCCCTCATGTCTGTCACGAGGTCATACAGCTTCCCCACGGGCAGCGAGACGTCGTACTTGAACACGTAGCCATCATGGGTGAGAGCCTCGGTGATCCTCTCCCGCAGGCTCCACAGCGCCTGAGGGGGCAGAGAACACAGAAACCCAAATGCCCCAAGCACCTCTTGGACTCCAAGCTTACACCAAACACCTGAACATTTCCCTATGACAAGCACAGAACCAAGCAGGGAATCCTGACCAAGTCATCTGTGGAAGAGGAAACAATGACTTGCCTTTATCTTCTTATCGTCCGTTGCCACAGTTCCATCAGTGACCAAACCAGAGGTCATGGCCTGTTGCAGGAAGTTGTTCAGTTTTTCTTCATCATGGGTTGAGTTGGAGCCTGAAGTCTCAATTAAAACATAAAAAGGGCTGCCTGAAAATGAGGGAGAACAGAGTAAGTAGATGCTCTAGGGTAGAAACACAGGAATTTACCATAGGTCCTGGAACTTTTCCCAAGCTTGGCACATTTGTTGTGCCCAGACTCTGGCACCAGGCAGAAGAGCAGCTCCAGGGGCAATCTTTTGTTGGGCACTTCACTGACATGCTCCATCCCTCACTGAGCTACCACTTTTCAGAAAAGTAGGAGTTTTGTGAGAACAAGTAGAAGTAAAAAGTCTTATCTTTAAGACAAAAGGTGTTTGGAATGACATATTGGCAATGAAAATTATGAGGGATGCACACACACTCACTGACTTAAAATGAGTTACTGACTTTTAGAAACGAGTTACTTTAAAAACATTTGAAAAGTAGGCTAAAAATCCCCAAGTAGTAAAATGCCTCCTTCTACAGTGTGTGTGTCTCAGGTACCTGTCACTGGGTTGGACAGCTTGAGATGTCTCTCAACCAATTCCATGCACTTCTCATCCATGAACTCATAGGCAGACAGGATCTCGCCCAGCATGGCTCTGCAGGTTGTGAATGTTTCCAGAACCTTAGCAAAACTCTGACATCCTTCAGAGAGAACACAGAGAGGAATCAGGAACAAAAAACAGACCCCCCAAACCCATTGGAGGTTTTTGACAAGAGAAAGTCTCAGTGAGGGCTCTCCACAAACAACTCTGTCCCTGCTGAGGCACACCCAGGAGCAGCTTTTAAGTAGCTGTGCCTGGATGTGGACTCAGCTGTTCCAGACCCTGACCTGCAGACATGACTTCCCAGCCTTGCCTTGTCACCATGGGCACACCAAGTGGCTGCTGGATGGTGGCTGCCTCTCTCTACTGTCACCTCGTTTGGGTACTGTCAGATTGGCCACTCCTCAGGGAGGGACCGTCCTGCCTGCCTCTGTAAGCTCCGGCCCCCGTTCCCTTGCAGAGCCACCTGTCCTTGCAGGGAATTTACCCATTTTCACCACAGATATAAAATACCTGCCCAGGTATTTCAGTCTAGAGCCCTGCACTATTTCCCAGGCTGAGCACTGCCTCCTCCTCTCCATACCTAGTCCCTTCCCAGCCTCAGAATTCAGGTGTGAAATGATTACTGTTGGCTCCTACCTAGGAATGCCACATTCACAGCCTTAGGTTTCTGTGGGCAGAGGATGGAGACAGCAGTGATGACTCCCAGGGTGCCCTCGGAGCCGATGAAGAGCTGTTTCAGGTCGTAGCCTGTGTTATCCTTGCGCAGAGAGCCCAGGCAGTCCAGGCGGGAGCCGTCAGCCAACACCTGTGGGCACAGGGAGGCTCAGGCACAGCACCCACACAGGAATCTGCTACCAGGAACTTGTCTGTGACCAAGCTGGTGGGAAGCTGCCACTAGCCTTGAGCAGGAGACACCAGCTGTGGCCAATTCGCACACTGCTCCTCCATTCCCAGCTCCTCCTCCCGAACTGTTCTCCTTGCAGGAGGACAAGAAGTAACAGCAGATGCAGTCTGCTCTCCTGTTCCTACCAGTGGAGGAGCACATCAGCCATTCTCTGCAGCCCTAGCTCCTGTTACTCAATGGAAACAAGGAGCACTGTCTGAAACAGTGAACACTTCAGCAGAATCAGCTAAGTCCTCCATCAGCTGAGCCTGAAATCAAGACTGAATGTCTCTAGGGTGCGTTATTAAAGGCCGTTTTGTCACTGGAGGGACTGACTTGAGAGACAAAAGCCTCCACAATAAAACCAACCCAGGCTTTTGTTCCATACCCAATTATTTCCCCATTAGGTTTCTGCTTCCTAGGCATGAAATCTTTTAGAACTACTCATCCAGACTTTACACCCAGAGGCACAGGCCTGGAGGGCAGAAGCAACTGAGGAACAGCAAAGGAGAAAGACAGCACCCAAAGGGACCCAAAGCAGGCAACTCTGTGGCTATGGGGGGTGGAACAAGATGAGCTTTAAGGCCTGGGATTCTATTAAAAGCCAAGTGAGCAGCACTAGAGGGGAGCACTGCAGGATGGATTTAGCAGTGTTCCACATACCATCTGCTCCACAGAGGAATCAACCTCCTGCAGGTAACTTGAGAAACCCCAATCACTCCTGACCTTCTTTTCACTTCTCTGGATTACACAACCACTCAATTGGCATCTGTGTCAGCAGACGGAAACTGCAGCAACAGGTGCTACACAGACACTTAATAACCCTGATCAAAAGAGCCCAATGAGGAAAAGGTAAGAGTGGAAGCCTACAGAAGAACTTGTCTGCATGCTGGATAGCTAGGACAGCAGGAAATAAGGACACAGAAGTGTTGGAGCAAGTCCAGAGGAGGACATGAAGCTGATGATAGGACAGGCTGAGAGAATTGGGGCTGTTCAGCCTGGAGAAGAGAAGGTTGTGTGGAGACCTCAGAGCAACCTGCCAGGAGCTGATGGGCCTACAGAGAAGCTGTAGAGGGACTCTGCATCAGGAACTGCAGTGACAGGACAAGGAGCAATGGGTAGAAATTGCAAGGGGGAAATTGAAATTAGATCTTAGGCAGAAGTTTTCCCTGTGAGGGTGGTGAGACACTGGCACAGGTTGCCCAGGGAGGCTGTGGCTGCCCCAACCCTGGCAGTGTTCACAGCCAGGTTGGATGAGCCTTGAGCAACTTGCTCTGGTGGGAGGTGTCCCTGCCCAGGCCAGGAGGTTGGGGCTGGGTGATCTCCAACCCCTTAATAGTCTATGACCTTATAAAATGGTAAGCAGCAGAGGAGTAAGCAGAGAAGGGAGCTGCTAGGCACTGGCCTTACCACTTCCAGGCCCAGCACTGTCCCTCGCAGGGAGCCGTATCTCAGCAGCCGCAAGCCACCGGCGTTGGTGGCCACGTTGCCCCCGATGTGACAGCTGCCCTTGGCTCCCAAGTCCAGGGGCATGATGAACCCCTGCTCCTCTAGGTACTCTGTGAGTCTCTCCAGGACACAGCCAGCCTGGCACACAAGGATTCCTGGAAGAGAAACACCCTGCTATGAGCTGATGGCCAAGGAGCAGCGCCTGCTCAAGAGGCGGGAGAAGTACGAGCAGATGCAACCACCTCTTCCTCCAACACTTCCTGGGGTCCAGTGCAAGCTCCAGGCAATTTTCCTACCCCTCCTCAAGTCTCATGGAGCTTTGCCATTGCCTTAATGTCTAGTCACCCATGACTGTGGACTGGTAAAACAGAGTTACATGAAGTATCTCTGTGCCCATTTGTTCTCTCTTGTCTGAACTGGAATACTCCCACCAGCCTGATCCCTAACTCTCCAAATCCAAACAAACCTCTGGCATGCTTTATAATGCTGCTGGGCTGAACCCTGCTGGTCCTGCTGTTATGCTCCCAGGAAAATGCCTGTTTTAGGGCCCAGTACCTCTCTGCCATACCTACCAGACACCTTGTCAAAGCTGATGATCCTGTTCATGAGGGCAGTGGAGAGGATGATCTCGTCAAAGACTGGAACGCTGCCGCCAACGAGGCCTGTGTTACCCCCCTGAGGGTTCACTGCCAGGTTCCTCTCATGGCAGTACCTGGGAGGACAAAGTTTCCTGAACTTTTATGCATTTCAAGGCCATAATCTAGTCTATCAGAGGAGTTTCACCTCCACACAAACACCTACTGTTGTGGCAATGCTGAACACCCCTTAAAATTAAGCAGTGTTTAGGTTACACTTACATTAAATGGATGCAAAGGGACAGAGTCAGTGATAAAGTGCAACTCCTGCCTCACCTTAACCCAGCACTGAGCAAAGGAACACCTGGGTTTATCCCTGTATGTATCTACACATCTGGCAGGCAATATCTGGCTGTAAATCCCTGTTCACACCACAGTTATCTCTACAGCAGCCTCTGGTAACAGCTTGGCTTCCTTGCAGGGCTCTGACAGACCCTCTGGCAGGGGTTTCAGACATGACTGCCCTTCTCCTCCTCCCCTCAAGAAATGAATGCCCTGTAGGCAACAAAACGTGCACCTGTGCCTCAGCAGCCTCACCCACCACATCCTCCCTGAGCTCACAGCTCTTGCATAAGGCATGGCACAGAGCCCCACAGCACCAGAGTTCCTCCAGAAGCCCTGCCTGCCACTCCTGTGTTTTGAATTCCTGTTTTAAGAGAGCCAGAAGCAGGTTTGGGCAGCTTTTAGCTCTCCAGCCAAACAGTGATCCAGCATGGTGCTTCCCAGCTGGAGCTGTGCTCACCCCAGTGAACCAGGGGACAGGGACAGAACAGACACTCACACTGCCCCATTCTGCCTGAACCTTCTTTACCTTTTCAGCCAGAGCCTCCTGAGTGCTTCAACACTTCTCTGAGTGTTCAACACTCCTCCCCGAGCTATTGTACAATACTTTATTGCAATCATTTATCAGAGTGGAAAAGCCACAAAGAAAACACCCTCAGCAACTCCAAGGCTTAAGGAATTGGTGCCTGAACACCTACAAGTTCCCTTCATGTGCCATATCCTGCCTGACTCCACCCAAGTCTCCTCACCACCAAGGCCAGCAGACAAGTTACCTCTCTCATTACCTGAGAACCTGAGACACCTCTGCCGTGGTCTGTGGCTTCAACACCAGCTGGCTGCAGCCTGCAAGGAAAGCAAGGGACTCTCAAGGCAACCTGTGGCTCTGCAGAGGTCAGAAAGAAACAGGTGGGAATGCATGAGGTGGGGATTAAGAGTGCTCCCCCCACCAGGAGGCATTTTAACCACTTTCAACCCAATCACTACGTTTCCCTTCAAGCCCTGGAAAAACCTGGCTTGGATACATAGACTTGTTTGCCAGTGGAGGCAATGGGGAAGAGTTTATTGCTTGTGAAATCTCTGAGAGAAGCAACAGGGAATTCACAGCATTTATTTTAGAATCTTAGAATCACAGACTGGTTTGTGTAGGAAGGACCTTAAAGCTCATCCAACTCCACCCCTGCCATGGGCAGGGACACCTTCCACCAGCCCAGGGTGCTCCAAGCCCCATCCAACCTGGCCTGGAACACTCCCAGGGATGGAGCAGCCACAGCTTCTTTGGACAACCTGTGCTAGTGCCTCAGCACCTCACAGGGAGGAACTCCTCCCCAATATCCCATCTAGCCCTGCCCTCTGGCACTGGGAAGCCACTCCCTATGACCTGCCCAACCAAAAAGTCTCTCTCCCTCCCTTTTATAAGCCCTCAAGGCACTGGAAGGCTGCAATGAGGTTTCCCTGGAGCCCTCTGAGGTCTCCCCAGAGCCTTCAAAGCATCTTCTTTGGTTCTTGAGGTTCAGTCAAAACTGTTAACTGAATCAATTTGTTTCAGGAAAAAATAATCAGTAAGGGTTAACAGCCCCTAAGAGTACTTAGGATTTTTTAAATTAAAGCCTTAAAGATTGCCAGATATTTAGCATTGCCTAAAGGAGTATTCTTTATGAGAAAAACTCAGTTTGGAGGGGCAGCACCTACCTCTGCTCGCTGTGAGCTGGGACAGGACACAGGGAACAGCTGGAGCTGTGCAGGGGAGGGTTAGGCTGGATCTTAGGCAAAGGTTCTTCCCCCAGAGGGTTAACCTTGAAATAGGGAACTGTGCTCTTATATGATGACTAAACCAAGGTGTAGAGGGCATGGTTACTGGGTTAGAAATGGGAACTGTGTGTTTTAGATATGACTAAAAGAAGGTATGTAGGACGTGGTCACTGGGCAGGCTAATGATGGCAGGGAAATGATTAGCCCATGTGTATGGAAATATTGAACATGTATGATTTGTGTGTTTAACAGACAGACTGGAGTATTTGGAGCTAGGGATGCACCTTGGTGCAACAACTAATGTCTGTGCTCAACACTGTATTGGAATGAAGGAGTTGCAATCTTGATTGTGGTGACAAGTGGTTGGGCACTGGAACAGGTTTAGGTTGGATATCAGGACAAGGTTCTTCCCCCAGAGGTGTTTGGGCACTGAACAGCTCCCCAGGGCAGTGGTCACAGCCCCAAGGTTGACAGAGCTCCAGAAGTGTTTGGCCAATGCTCTCAGGTACAGGGTGGATTGCTGGGGTGTCCTGGGCAGAGCAGGAGTTGGACTGATGAGCCTTTGTGGGTCCCTTTCAACTCTGGATATTCTGTGGACTCTGACAGGACCAGGAGCAATGGGTATAAACTGAAAGAGGGAAACTTAGATATTAGAAAGAAGCTTTTTCCCTGTGAGGGTGGTGAGACACTGGCCCAGGCTGCCCAGGGAGGCTGTGGCTGCCCCAACCCTGGCAGTGTTCACAGCCAGGTTGGATGAGCCTTGAGCAACCTGCTCTGATGGGAGGTGTCCCTGCCCAGGGCAGGGGGTTGGGACCGGATGATCTCTAAGCTCCATTCCAACCCCTTTAACACAGTTATCCTGGAAATCACTTCCACAAACATAAAGGTGCCTGGGAAAATCAGGGCGAATTTATGAGCTGATAAGGATGACTGCATTACCTCTGAGGTTTATTCCAACCCCTTAACACACTACGATCCCGCGGGTCGGGCTAATACTCCACGGCTGTAAAGCCCTACCCTGTCATCAACAAAGCTGAAACACACCCTTCAGATTAAGCTTTCACCCCCACAACCCCTCCCACTTACCTCTCACCGACTTCAACCAATCCACATTAAACGCCTTCACCTCCTCCTCGCCGCTCACCACCCTGCCGGGCATCACCCCCTCAAAAAACTCCACATCCCCCTCCCTCAGCCGTCCGAACGGCAACCTCCTCACTGCATAGCGCTCCTTGGTCAGCACCACCTCCTGCGCTGCGCTCCCCAAACCCCTCACGGCTGCTCCCACAACTCTCCTCAGCCCTGACGACACAACGCGCAGCGGAGACGCCATGACACCCCTGGGGAGGGGGAACCGGAAGTGACGTCATAACACAGCGACCCTCTAGAGCTCATCCCACGCAATGTAAATACCGCGGGGAGGATTATCCCAGGTTATCCCGGGTGGAATCGCGTGTTATCCAGGAGGGAATGGCGTGTGGATGCAGCGCTCAGGGCGCTGCGCATCTCACCCTCCGCCGCTAGGGGGTGATGCCGTCCCCTGGCGGCCGGAGGTTGTAACAGCACTTTGTCCTCACACGAGTTCCCCGCCCCAAAAACCCGCTTTATTCCATAAAATATCCATCAAAAATACAGATATACATTTGGTTTTAACTTTAAACATGACATTCCTTAATAATTCTTCCCCTTCCCTCCTCCGCCCCCAGCCCCCGTCGTGCGGCGGTGAAAAGACTTCTGTTTTGGGTGTCATCCCATTAAAAGAAAAGACAGAATCAGGTTAAAAAGTCATTTTGACATGGGTCGAAGTGGGAAAATAGGTCGTGTCGAAGGGCAAGGCTGGATGGCAGACGGGGTGCTGGCAGCAGTCTTCGGGGGGATGCTCCGTATGGATCACCCTTTTCCACTGGACGTTGTACATTCACAAGTCAGGAGGTTTAAAATGCTTTTATGGAAGCAGATTTTGTGTCTACAAGGAGTTGTAAATCCAGGCTGAAGATGCTCCTGAGCACATCCAAGGCTTGCACTGGTGTTGGTGCCAGTGGGAGAGGTTATTGCTGGTATCAGATCTCAGATGGTTTATGCGATGTAAAGGAGAGGAGGATGTTGTCCCTCACATCATTCCTAGCAAATTATCCTTCCCTTTTGAGGGCTCTGCCTTCTAGAGCTTGTTTTTCTTTTGGCTTTGCTGGTTCAAGTGGGAAAATGCATTTCTGAGCCCCAAAAGCACTTCTAAAAAATGTGTTTTCTTGTCCTACCTGAGCACAATTTTGGAGCTTTTTCCAGCATGGAATTTGGGGACTGTTTGAAATCAAATGCTCAGTCTATGGTGATACCACTACTAACAGAGCCTTAGGATAAAAAAGAAGGATACAAAAGATTGTATGTGATACCACTGGGTGGAAGGGGAAAGTAGAGCCTGGAACAGCATCCACACAGATCCCAGGACACGGCGAGGCTGGTGATCAGGTTACAGGTTGGCTCATGAGGTACCACGGTTAAACTGGCTCTCAGCAAGAGGCAGAAGGAAAAACAGGGCTGTCTGTACCTCCAAGCTCAGGTGCTTTCCCTGCTCCTTCCCTGCAGCACTCTGTTCTTACTCCTCTGTCTGCAGTGATAAACACACATCACCTTGTGCACATCACCTACAACATCTCTCTTCAAATGACAGGACCCTGGAGACATGGATTTTTTTACCCAGAGGAGATGCAAGAAACTAAATGTTCACAGAAAAGCTGCCTCAGGATTGAGAGGTTTCTTCTATGCCATCAGCAGCCCCACAGGGGGAAGGAGAGGTGACAGGAGCTGTGTTCTACTTCCCTTCATGGCAAAACATGAGCAAGAGGGTCAGTACAGCATTGAAAAAGCTTTTTTCTTTTGGAAACAGGTGCCAGGATCTGAGCAGAAGTTAATTTTTTTTCCTTCTGTGCTTTTGTTCAGCAGAAGAAAAGCTTATCTGCAAGTTTCTTTGTGCCTTTGCTGCAGTGCCTACCACGAGCTCCTGCACAATGGTATGGAAAGCAGCACACAGCCCTGCACAGAGCTGCCACCAACAGCCACCAGGGACCACAGCCAGCAAAGCTTGTGAGTTTGGGGCTCTTTCTCCCTCTCCACCAGCAGAATCACCTTTCCTCACCACCTCTCTCACTGTAGGCAGGTAAGCCTCATGATGCAAGAGGTAAGTGTTATCTTCATACCTATCTCTGCCCTTCCCTCAACTTCTGCATCCACTCTAATTCAGAGGAAGAAAAAAACAACCCAGAAAAAGACTGTTGTTTTCCTACTCCTGATCTCCTTTCACTCTTCTGCTGCAGCCACCAAGACTGTGCTAACACAAGGATTCACATTCATCATCTCAAAGGCAGTTTAAAGTCATGAACATACAAATGTGGCCCAATAAACAGACAAAAAGTCCTGTTAGAACATTCCTGAATGGTCTTCTTTAACAGCAGAGCCACATCACCACTGGAAGGAGCAGAGTCCTCACAGAGTCTTCCCCTATGCCCGGATCTCCTCCATCACCAGGGGCCACACAGCCAAACCACAACTGAAAATTCAGGCCTTCATCTCACTTTGTGGAAAAACTCCAACCCTCCACCACTCCAGGAATACTGTAGGTTTCATCTTCACAGTGCTGTGCTTGAAGGATCTTCAGGGAAATGGGAAGAGGCAGGAAAGGCAACACCCTCTCTCGGCATTACTGTGCAAGAGTTAACATAAATAGAATCCCTGTGGCAAAGGGACTTGGGACTCCCTCTCAAAGTCATTGGCTTATGAAAGAACAGGAATTACAACTGGCCACTGGATAATTAAATATCATACCAGAAGGAGATGGAGGGCAGATTAACAAAAAATAATCGAAGGGAATATTGCAACGTGAATGAAGGAATATATTAAACTCTTCTTGCCTCAGCTGTGCATCCTCTCCACTCCTTATTTCTTCTTCTTCCTTCCCTGAACACAACGAGGGCAAAACCTGCAGGGAAACAGAGGCAGCAATTAATTCCTGAAGTTAACAGCACAGAGCCCAAGAACTTGACTGAGCCACATCTGCATGTTCACTGATTTGATCAGTGGCTGAGGACAACTGCAGGAGGGCACTAAGGCTCAGTGCTGGTCCTGCCCTTGGGACACAACCAGCCCATGCATCTCCAGGCTGGGGGAGGAGTGGGGACAGAGGTGTTGGGCACAAAGGGACTTGGCAGTGCTGGTGGCACAGCTCAGTGGGAGCCAACAGTGTGCACAGGTGGCCAAGGAGGTCAAGGGCATCTTGGCCTGGCTCCAGCAGAGTGTGGCAGCAGGACTAGGGCAGTGTCATCCCCCTGGACTGGGCACTGGGGAGGTCCCAGCTCAGTGCTGTGCTCAGCTTTGGGCACTCACTGCCCAAAGGCCATTGAGGCACTGGAGCGAGTCCAGCCAAGGGCAACGAGGGCAGCAAAGGGCTGGAGCACATGGGCAAGGGCTGAGGGAGTGTGGCTTGGTTAGCCTGAAGAAGAGGCTCAAGGGTGACCTCATGGCTCTCTGCAACTCCCTGACAGGGGTTGAAGAGAGGTGGGGGATGGCAAACTGCAGCCTGATGAAAACCCCAAAGCTGTTTGCTGTCACACTCACCACTTCCCTTTTGGTTTGGTGGTCAGGTCCACACAAGCAAAGTGGAACCACTCAATTGGGCACTGCAAGACAGAAAGGAAAAACCCAGAGAGGAGATGCTTAGGGTTCCACAAAGGTTCCTGTCACTTGGTGTGATCTGAGCCAGGACCCCTACTTTGACTGCACAGGGCTGGGATGCAGCAAACACCCGAAAACAAACCACATCTCAAGGGCTTACATCTGGGTTGTCACAGCCAATCATTTCTCCATAGGACACCTGGTGGCACAGGCAGTAGGTGGGTTCGTTGGGGTCCACAGGCATGTCCAGGACATCTGAGGGGTGCACGGACAGGATGGTATCAGCAAACTCAGACCTGTGGGCAAGGACAGAGGGAGGACAAAACATCACTCAGTCACAGGCAACACGGTGTTACAAGGGTCAGGAGGGACAGGACACAGGGAATGGCTTCTCACTGCCAGAGGGCAGGGACAGATAGGATATGGGGAAGGAATTCCTCCCTGTGAGGTGCTGAGACACTGGCACAGGTTGCCCAGAGCAGCTGTGGCTGCTCCATCCCTGGAAGTGTTCCAGGCCAGGTTAGATGAGGCTTGGAGCAACCTGGGCTGGTGGGAGGTGTCCCTGCCCATGGCAGGGTTGGGACTGGACGAACTTTAAGGTCCTTCCAAGCCAAACCATCCTGTGGTTCTATGTATCCAAGATCTAAATCCCACTAGGGAAAACTAGGTTTTTACAGAATCTTCCCTAAAAAACAGTGACCCTACCTAGAGCTTAGATTGCATCATCACACACTACCCAGGAACTAAAATCACAGGGGAGGTTTGATTAAAAATGATTAAAAGAAGGATGTGTGGATGCCATGACTATAGT